TTTCCTCTGATCATTCTGGCAGGCACCTTGGAAGGGAAAACCTGGCCAGTGCCAGAACTCACAGTTTACAAAGGATTATACTAAACAAACAAAAACAAAACTCAGAAAAAGTATTATCCTCTGGCTCAAAGCCCAGATAGAAATTTCTCCCATGGATCTTTATAAAGAGAATATCGTGTGTTGTAATTAATGAAAACAACTGCAGTAATATCATTACAGGATAAATAACAATGAGTTTCATAGAACTTTTTTAAAAAACGTATTTTAAAAACAAAACAATGGCAATACACCGAACACAATTCAACAGGGGCTCATGAGGTAAAGCTAGGTACTCAGCTCTCTGAATTCAAATGTGGGTAACATGCTGAGAGGACAATGACCCAAGTAACTCAGAAATGACCACTGGCCCCCAACTGTCAACAGCAGGAGGTGGGAAACTTTCCTTAAATGGTCAGATAGAAAATGTTTTTAGCTTCAGAGGCCATAAGGTCTGTCACAAATACTCCGCTGTGAAAACAGCCACAGACATGTGGAAATGAAGAGACATTGCTGTGTTCCAGTAAGTAAGTTTTATTTATAGATACTGAAATTTGAATTTTGTATACTTTTCACAAGTCATGAAATATAATTCTTCCTTTGATTTTTTTTAACCCAACTATTTAAAAAATGTAAAAACCATATTTAGCTTATAGGCCATGCCAAAATTGGCAGGGAGCTGAACTGGGCTCACAGCACATGATTTAACTAACTGCTGGTCTACAGGATCAAGTTCCGCTCAGACATTTCCTTGACTCTCGTACCATTCTCCTACCTCAAGCTCTGTCTATATCAACTTTAAAAAGGTAATTACTGTTTCTACATTTTATATGCAACTATACACAGGCCAACCAGGATGAGATCATGCAGACAGACATGGCTTCAGAATTTTTTGTTCCATGGAAATAAGAAGGTAATCAGGATGAATGAGCAGCGAAGAAATGGTTTAGTTCCCAGTTTCCTCATTAAACTAAATGTACACTCACCAAAAAAGAGAAATATTTGAATGTAGAGCTCTTCCTATTTTCAAGCTCAAGTGTTCATTTTTAGAAGCATATAAAAATACATATAATTACCTGAACCACTTAATTCATGTGTTGTAGCATTTTGCAACACTAGATTTCCCAATGTCAATGAAGCCATATTACATTTTGCAGCACACAGTTAATGTGGTATAATCCCAGTAAGAAACCCTTCATTCCAAACATCCTTCAGAGGTCCCTGAGTTTCTGTCTGTTCCAAGACAAAATGCAGTGTTAAGCCACTGAATCTGGCAAACCTGGGTTGCCTCTGCTATTGTGCTAGTTCATAAGAAGGCCCTAGAAAATTTATCTCATCTCTTTATTTTGCTGTCTTCATCTATGATTTGTAAAACTTATAAACTATGTATACTGGGGAGCTGCTAGGATAATGAAGAAAAATTTATGAATAAGCTTTGATCAGCATGATGAAAGAAAGGTACTGTGCATACCCAGAGGGACCCCACTATTATTCAGGGAGATGGCAATTACCCTCAAGGGAACACATGCATCTCAAATCGAGTCTCCTAGAAATGTGTAACTACATGCAGAAGATGCTCTAATCCTTACAATTCTAGTGTCAACACAGGTCTTAGCCACCCTTCTGAATACCTGCCCTGTAAGTGGTCCACTGGAGGCTGCATTTTGTTACCTCTGTGTATTTTCTTACACTTTGGCAAGTATATGACACAGGATTCTTGATCCCTGAAAGATTAAAATTCTGTGCTGAGCTGTGGAAATGCCAATGAAACCTCTAGTAAGTACATCCAGAGAACAGGCCTGTAGCTTGTGGGGCTTTGGGAACTTGTAACTCATGAATGCTTGACTGTGCAGCGCTTGCATAATGAACAAGGCAAGGTCTAGGGTTACATGTAAGTCACTGCAATTATTTCTAAGGACACTTATTCTTGAGTGTATGCATTCACCCACAAGAACACTGAAGCTTTGTATTATTAAGGTGAAACGTTGGGTTCTCTTCCAAACACTACTGCTCCTAAAACTGGCCACAGAGCCTCATCCAAACTAACATTTACTGCCTTTTAATGGCATTTGCTAAAACCCACATATTCTAAAGATCATACAATATTCCAAAAAGCTCCTGAGGAAAATTACTTTCAAAGCAACCACATCCTCTTTTTAGATTATTTACTGCAATAATCTGCATCCACAAAGAAACATTTAAATGTGTATTTAAGTGATCAGAATAACCTTCATTCTGACAGTCTTTATATCAATTAATACATGTTGCACTAACAGAAGAAAAAGAAGAATGATTGAAAACATGGCATTCACACTTAAGAGAGAGTCACTTCCAACCCTGCCACTTATGGTTGTGCCTCCAAAGGCAAGTTATTTAACCTCCATAGCCTTACAGTTCTCAACTATAAAATGGGGACAAGAACATCAACTACTTCATAGGTATTGTGAGGGTGAGCTTAGACCTTGTATGGAAAGTCCCTTAATAAATGCTTGTTCCTTTCCCCTGTTTAGGGAACCCAGTTGGATCAACAAGGTACCTTCCTGAACGCCAAGGCAGACTTAAAATGTCATCAAGAATGTCACCGTGTGATGTTTAAAAGGCTTATTAAATAACAGCCTCAACACTGAGAAGACAATAGAAGAAACCAGGAGTTTATAATAACCCAGATTTTTCCATTCAATAAATGTGGCTAACTGTGCCGACAGTGCTTTTGACATTGTATTGATTCCAAGGTGTCTTACACTATGAAGACATGGATTCTGTGATTTAATTTATATATTGTCACCGCTCCTCTCTTCTTTTAAATAATGGAACCGCTCTCCAGTAAAGGACTTCAATCTCATGCCCTATGATCACATCCAGGCAGTGCTCCTTCACATGAGCATAGGCTCCTGTGATCAGAATCTGGGCCTTCAAGGTGACTAACACTGAGGCTATGGCCCAGGATTGCTGAAAAGGCGGGCTTCCTGACCTATGGCGGTAGGAGGAGACGATTCACCAAGATGTTCCTTCCAAACCTCATGAAAGGTGCCTTTTACAGTCTCACAATTTCTAGGCGCTTTATTGGTCGCTAATGAAAGGGAAGCATTATCTGGTGGCCGACATCCTTAAGCTTTGACCTCAAGTTGGGTCAAATTTTCATTGTGTGACAAATGCATTGGTGGCCCAGTTTCCTTTTATCATCTACAAATCGCAGTTAAACCTGGCTCACGTATTAGCAGCTTTAGTGGAAATAAATCCTTCCAATCACTGACATGGTTGTTAGGCTACGCAATTAAAACGATTACCCATACTTTTTAAGTCTGAGAACAAAAAAAAAAAAATTCATTTTCCAATTACATACTTTATGTCACCATAAGGAATGAAATACGTGCGACGGTGAGGGTGACGTGCATTTCTTAGCGTATGCCGTTTCCTCTTTTTTAAAAAGTTCTGCAAAAGGTCTCCAAATAGAATTCATTATTATTATCTTGAGATATATTAGCAGTAGGCAGCTGCCAAAATATTTTACAAACGAAGCAGTAACACTTTACTAGTTACCTCACCCAGCCGTTTGCTACTTGGCTTTAAATCTCACTCCCTCTATGAAATAAACAACTTATTAACTACAGAGGACTGGATAAGGTTTTATCGTCTGTGGGTAACTCTCCAAAGACATTTCAGTTAAATGAGTTCCCTTCGGAGTTCACAAACGTGCTGTATGAGACAGTGAGGACTGAATGAGTGAACGTGCAGGGACCCCCTGGAACAGAGCCTGCCATGGAATAAGCGCTCAGTGCTGGTGATAAACAAGTCACAACAGAGTAGGAATTTTCTACCAAAACATACTCTAAAAATAGAAACTCACGAGAAATATGCAAATTCCACAGTTGGAATATTAATGTCTAATTAATTAATGTTTTGAGAGAGGGGAGGGGAGGGAGAAAGATAGAATCATCAATGTGCGAAAGAACATCGATCAGCTGACCCCAACTGGGGTCCTGGCCTGCAACCCAGGCATGTGCCCTGACCAGGAATCGAACTGCTAACCTTTCAGTTTGTGGGACAATACCCAACCCACTGAGCCACACCAGTCAGGGCAGGACTGGGAGGCTTTAGTGTATACTGAACTTGGTCTAGCTTTTGCTTAATATAATTTTATCTGTGTTATCTGCATTGCACATTCTGTAATCACTGGCATCTTTTCTTTCTTTCTTTCTTTCTTTTGATAAAATGATTAAACAGTTCAAGAAGGCTTAAGGAAGAATGCATAAGGTTGGGGATGGGGGCTGAACTTTCTAAAGAGAAACAGGCTAGCCAATCAAAAAACACTTCAAAATGGTATAGTTACATTTTTCAAACATTGTTCTTTGGCTTGTATATTCGATCTTCATAACATCAAAACAAAATGCTAAAGCTAAGTCAGGCTGCAATGATGAATCACTGATAACCAACGTGGAAGTAGGTTTTTCATAGGGGTGTTTTGTTTTGTTTTGTTTTGTTTTGTTTTTGGTATGGAAAAATCTTTCCCAGTTAAAAAAAAAAAAAAAGAGGACACAAAGCTGTAGTAGATGCAGTAAAAACAGACAGGGCCTCCTTCAGAGGGCGTGTGATGAAAAGAAAAGTGCTGAGAGAGCAGTTAGGTGACAGGAGTTCTAGCTCAGCTGTTGCACCACCCGCCTGTGGCAGGGGAAGGGGTGGCAGGGGTGAGAGGAAGTGGCAACAGGAAACTGGGGACAACTGTACTTGAACACCAATTTTAAGAAAACAACATGAAACTCCATAAACAATAAAAAAAAGTAAATAAAAAAAAGTCAATTGGAAATTTTATTGCTGGGCCCAAGGACTGTAAGACTGGGCAGAAGACTTGAAAGAATATCAAGGTTTTGGGTGGGGTGTTGCAATTAGAAAAAGGAAATGCTTTGTTTAGAAGAGACTTAGAACCCAGATTCTGAGCCCCTCCCAGACAGCGAGCAGCAGCCTTCCCCATGGAGCAGCTGAGCATGGCAAACACCAAGTTTGCAGTGGACCTTTTCCGCACCCTGAATGAGGACAATCCTACTGAAAACATCTTCATCTCTCCCATAAGCATTTCATCAGCTTTGGCCATGATCTTTCTGGGGACCAGAGGCACTACTGCGGCACAGATGTCCAAGACTCTTCATTTTGATGCAGTTGAGGATATTCATTCAAGATTTCAGAGTCTGAATGCTGATATCAACAAGCATGGAGCTCCCTATATTCTGAAACTTGCTAATAGGTTTTATGGAGAGAAAACCTATAATTTCCTCCCTGAGTTCTTAGCTTCAACTCAGAAAATATATGGTGCTGAATTGGCCAGTGTGGATTTTCAGCATGCCTCAGAAGATGCAAGAAAGATGATAAATGAGTGGGTCAAAGGGCAGACAGAAGGGAAAATTCCAGAATTGTTGGCTGCAGGTGTGGTTGATAATATGACTAAACTTGTGTTAGTTAATGCCATCTATTTCAAAGGAAGCTGGCAGAAGAAATTCAGTGAAAACGCCACAACTGATGCACCTTTCAGATTGAATAGGAAAGACACAAAAACAGTGAAAATGATGTACCAGAAGGAGAAATTTTCATATGGCTACATCGAGGACCTTAAGTGTCGTGTGTTAGAAGTGCCCTACCAGGGCAAGGAGCTCAGCATGCTTATCCTGCTGCCAGATGACATTGAGGACGAGTCCACAGGTCTGAAGAAGATCAAGGAACAATTGACTTTGGAAAAACTGCATGAGTGGACCAAACCTGAGAATCTGTATCCCACTGAAGTCAATGTTCACTTGCCAAAGTTCAAGCTGGAAGAGAGCTACAACCTCAACTTACACCTAGCCCGCCTGGGTGTAGAGGATCTCTTTAATAGCAAGGCTGATCTGTCTGGCATGTCAGGAACTAGGGATCTTTCTGTATCAAAAATTATCCACAAGTCTTTTGTGGAAGTGAATGAGGAGGGCACAGAGGCAGCAGCCGCCACAGCAGGCATCGCAGCCTTCTGCATGCTTCCGATAGAGGAGAATTTTGTGGCTGACCATCCATTCATTTTCTTCATTCGACACAATCCCTCAACTAACATCCTGTTCTTAGGCAGATTTTCTTCCCCTTAGAGACTGTGGAGATACAAGGCTAAGCTCAGAGCTTTATTACCTGCACTTTCAATGGTAATAGTTTCCATGTATCTTTAGCAATAAAACTACCATCCCAAAACAGATCTTTAATTTCCTTTATAAGGTCAGCTCTGTGATGTCACTGCATTCTGTAATTCAGCTCTGTTGGCTGTGTGCACCCATTAACTTTGGTATGGGTTTCTATTTCCCTTTTTAAATATTGAAAATTTTCTGTGATTGCTTTTGATGCATCAATCAGATGTGCAGAATCTTGACAATATAGTAATCTATGAAGTTGCTATACTTTCTTGATAGCCATGGGAAAAATTATAATACTGTAATTTATTTCACAGAGAAGTCTATTTCATAGACTTCTCGAAGTTGTAAGAGAGACACTCTGATTGTCAAAGGGAGGCTTAAAAACAGATATTCAATTGAAATATAGGAGAATAGCCCAATTAAGGGTTGGGTTATGAAGACAAATTTGCCTTGGTCAATGTTTATGACCCTTCATTCTATAGGATTAGTATTTTATTACAGCCCTCCAGCTTTTAAACATTTAAAGATCCACCTGGTGATTAAAAAAAAAAAAAAAAAGAGACTTAGAGACAGTTTGAAAGAACTAAAGAACTACAATTAAAAAATATAAGGCTTTAGTAACTATAGTTAATTATGACAAGCACAGTTCCTTGTTGGGTCATTCAATAAATATATGTTGAACAGATGAAGTGAACAAATACATAAGGAGATGTGACAGGAACTAAAAAGGGAAGGGATTTTAGAGACTTTAGGAAAACAAAGTAATGTCCAATCGGACCACCAGCAGCGGACCAAGAAGTTAATTCAGGTTTTTAGCAGTAGAAAAAATATGCAAATAAAAATCATCACCAATGTCTTGAGTTCCCGATTTTCGCTAGAAGTTGGGAAGGCATGAATTATCCATAAATAATGACTGAGGAAAGGTGTAGATGAATGAGGTAATGGGGATAAATTTCAGATTTTATTGTAGGCAGTTTAACTTGCTAAGTAAAGTCTGCAAATGATTTTTAAAGCACACATGGGGCATAAATTAAAAAGAAAAAGGAATAGAAGCTTAGTGGATAAAAAACAATATTTTTAATAACAAATCGTATAAAGCAGATGTTAACTAATATTAACCTAGCAAAGAAATGATCATCTTTAATGATGCAGCTTTTGATATACTTACGTAACTGTCTTAAAAACCTTTATAACAGGTATATAGGTTATATACACTTTTATTGCCAAAATTCAGTATTTGGTGGTCAACACATTGAGTCTGTCGTGTTCATGTTACAGTCGTGTTTCCACAATGCCAGTTATAGCAAAATCAACTTGTGGAGTAAATTTGAAATGCAGAAAGAGTTGCTGATAAGATTTTAAGGGAAGTCACATGAGCCAACTGATGGAAGTCACTTTACACACCATGTGTTTTCAGAGGCAAGTTATACTTCAAGTTTTGGCCAAATACAGTGGCTCTTTTGCAAAGAGAAAAGACATTTCCATCTTGTGCACCAATTTATTCTAAATTAAAAAATTATTTGGCGATCTAAAAAGCAGGAGAGAAGAAAATAAATACCAAGTTTTTAACAAATACCATGTTTATGATCAACCAATTAACGTTCACGAAAAGCTTGATTTAAGTCAGAAGGGAAGCAAACGGAGCCTAGATGCCAGTGTGAGTTTGAGGGAGGGGTTGCTCCTGCACCTGCTGCTGGGCTCGGGGAGACAGGGGCCCAAGAGCCTTGGAGGCTCCGCAAGCAGGGGGCACTGGGTGTGCTTTTGACCTCAAATAGACCCCAGAGGAGAAGGAGCATTAGATTCCCTGCAGGCCACAGAGCCCCTAAAAGTCCCAGCATGGTTTCAGAAGGCAGCAGTATGCTGGGAGCGTGGAGGAAGTATCAGATCTCACTGAGTTCTCCTCAGGAGTTGCACTAAAGCAGCACAGTGACCTTAGGGCCTCCAAAGAGAGCAGGGAAGCAGCAAGAGGAGGTGCTGAAACGGGAGGGCACTGTCGGATAGGACTGCGCTTGTCCTGGACCAGCGCTAAGGATGAGACAGGACAGCGCACGTCCCTAAGGGTGCCTGCGCAGGCAGAGGCTGCCAGGGCAAGGTGAGCATCCCCGCTCCCGGCCGCAGCAACGTTAGCAGGGAGAAGGGTTAAATTAAATTAAACATCCATGACTTAAGTTTACTTGTTCTTAAAGTGCTCCCTTAATAAGAATGGTATCGCTATGATACGAAACATTACTGGCACATAGGAATCGAGAGGAGGCAGAGATTTTTGTTTCCAGCAACGATGGTCTAGGTTATACATACTCATCCTCCCAGGAAAATAAATAAAAAGTGGCTGGTTGTCAAATAACATAATCTCATTCAAAACATCAAAAAGTTGACAAGACAGTAAGAAACTGCCGGGCCAAAATCTGTAGGAAAGCGGGAGCCTAAAAGGTAAGCAAGCAGGGAGGTGCTTTTATCCTGATAAGGGCAGATATGAACTGACTTTAACAGCCTCACCAGGGAGGTGAAACGAATCAGGGCCCAGAAGCCACCCAAGTGGGGAGCATAAAAGGCCTCCCTCACACTAAGCTGAGGCTCCTAAGAGGCGCACCCTAAAAATAAGAGTGAACCAGAATAACCCCCGCCTCCCACTCTGAGAGGCTGCAGGGACAGTTGCCTTGGCATTGAAAGTATACATAGGGAGGTGGGGTTCCCGAGAAGTTGTATTTACAGGCTGGCCCTTGTGTGCAAAATCACAACTCAAACTGACATCACCTGGGTGGTCCAAAAAAACTTTGAGTGGTACATTTAGGTTAAAGTGGTCCTAGACTGGTAATGCCGCCAGACACCTGGCAGAAACAAAAGCAAATCTTTAGTTGGGGGGAAAGGCCATTCATCCTAAGCTTCAAAGAATCCCTGAAAGTAATTTTTCAGGGGTAATGACAAAGACCCAGGCAAAAATAAGCAAGCCTACAAGAACAGACAGGTAAGAGGGGGGAAAAAGGAATAAAAGAAAATTCTGGATCCTAAAAGCAAATTAATTTGCTAATGAATTCTGTAGCCATTTCTGCAACAAATATTTATTGAGCACCTACTCTGTGCCAGGCTCTACGCTAGGTTGTGGGCATATATGCCATTTCAGCTGTTATGTGAACAAGTCACCCAGGGGGTGAAGGTTTAGTTGAACTGCCATTATATTTATGTTTATTTACCTTTAGCTTCTGTGTTCTCCTAAGACTTGCAAACACAAGGACTGATGAGTGTTCATTACTACTTAGTGATAAATTTTGAAATAAACAGTAATCTCCAAGGACTGAGATTGACATGACTGATTTCTTTTCTCAGACTCTGTGCCTAACAGTTCCATGTCTGAGCCTAATTATCCCTTCAGCAAATCACAGACCCATGTGCATTAACAGAAAAGTGATGAGAGACTAAGAAAACTATATGAGAGACATAAAATTCAGAATTAAGTACATTTATCTTTAATTATAAAAGTCCAAACAGATGATCTTAGAAGAATAGTGTGAATCAGGCATTAATTTTAAGGTAGCTACAGAAACGCCTGAAGGCACAGGAAGGATGGAAAGAGTTTAGTCCAAAATTTACTTATACATATAGGTTGCCTTTCTTAGCCAAGGTGGTTAGTAAACTCTTGCTGATATTTGGGTTACTCTGGTGCATTTACACTAATTACCAACCTTTGTCTTCTGTCTAGCTTTTCACAGTAAGGATTCAAATAGTCAACCTATACACTTCTGCATTTGTTTGCTCTTATCATTTATTATATAAATGTTACGGTGGTTGACCTTTGCCAAGCCTTTGGAACAGTACAACTTGGGCTTTCTTCTCCATGTTTGCTAAACCACAACAGTCTGGTGTAATAATAACAATAGCTACTTACTCTGGGCCTGGAACTGTGCAAGACACTTTTTAGTGTCTCCTCACAAATATAAGGGGTAAGTCACTGTTACCCCCCAATTTTGTGCTCATGGTTGGACAGACCTGGATTCAAATCCTGCCCTTTTGTCACGTCTCCCTTAAAGATGAGGCTCAGTTTTCAGGGTGGAGGCTGCCATTGGATGAAATGAAATACAGCATAGCTGAGTTCCTGGCCCCTAGGAAGTACTTGTTTCTTCTTTCTTGAAATGGTTCCCCATCCTGAAATTCATGTCTTGCTGTAGGCAGCATCTTCAAATAAGAAGACAATCTCTACATTTATGAAGATTTTTATGCTTTCAATACCACTTCACTACTGTCCAACCACTGGCTGTCTGACCCTTTGGAAAACACTTTAATACCTTAGTTGACATTTTAGATTTGTTGTCTTCAGGATGTAATATAATTGTCAGCCTTGAAAAATGCTAGTCCAGGAAGTCATGCAAGAGGAAAGGACGAGGACTTTGCCTTTCTTTCCAGTCCTATGGAGGCAATGCCTCCTCCCTCCTCCTAGGTATCTAAGTGTGTGTGTAAGGGGTATCGGGGTGGCTAGTGCTGGAGGTAAATCAAGGGAGGGATGTGACACATAGGCATCCCGGGTTTCCACAGTAAGGATGCCTAGCACAGAAGGAATGCAGCGCCTTCCCTTATAAAAGAACATTGCGTTTTTTCCCCCCTCAAGTTTGTGAGAAAAATCATCCTACCTTCTCTTATTTAAACCAAAACTATGTACTTACTCTTCTTACAGTGGTTTGGATTGAGAAGATTCATCAGTGTGACAAAAAGTCCTGGGAAAGATGTGTTCACTCCAGTATACCCCCTGGCACACAGTAGGGACTCAACAAATACTCGAACTTACTGCAGTGCTTATAGTGTGTCCTCTAGTGTGCAATGCTTCCTCATTTCTAGGATAATTTTCTAGATCAGCAAGATTCACTTGTCAAATAATTGACAAGTTGAGAGTTCCCATAGGTGGACAGCTTTTGTTTTGGCCTATAAGGTTCTCAACATACATTTTGAATTAACATTTAAAGCTGCGGAGATTTCATATACATTTACAGCTGGCTTGCTTTATCCACTAGTATCCATCTGGCCCCTTTGGGAACTTGTGCTGGTGCCTGGATTAAAACTCTGTTGGCTAAATAAAAGTTCAGAAGTCCTGTTAGCTATATCAGGTGTTAATTTAATCCTATAATGAACACACCCCCAAACACGCCAAACAAAAACTAGAAAGTTGAAAATGTGTAAACACAAAACCCAAACCCTTGGGCCCTCAAATTTCTCACTCTCTGAGAGCTGACTGTGCAGTTCCACTATCAGCTTTTAAACTCCTCTTCTCAAAACCTCTTCTTCACTGGTTCGTGCTAACTAGGGGAATGAAGGGGACGGGCCATCTGGCCTTTCATGACTAATGCTTGGAAAAGCCCCCCTCCATCCGAACTGGAAAGGAATTCTTTTTTTAAAATTTTTTAATTGTTGTTCTGTCAGTTGTCCCAACTGTCCCCCCACCCCCGGGGCTCTCCCCTGCCTCCTCACTGCCCCCCACCCCCACTCCCACAGTCAATCCCCACCCTGTTGTCCATGTCCATGGGTCAGTTACTGTCGTTCTTTAACTAGTTCTGGGAGGAAATTCTTGATGCAAGCAGTGAGGAAGCATTCAAACTTCACTGACATAAAAATCTACTAAATGCCATAGTAGCTTGTTATTTAGCAACTGCTAAAATTCAAAAGAATTTTACAGAAATTAATAAAATTAAATAGCCATAAAAAGCAAGTGATTTCACTTGACAATATATTATAATACTGAGAGTCTCCCCACTTTAAAATTATTTCTATAAAAGGCAAATAGATCCTGACCGTTCTCCCTTTTCAAACTGACCCTGCCTCCCTGCTGGACCCTCCTTTGTTGGTCCATTGTGGTCCCCCAAACCACAGAGCCCCCAAACTTTTCCCTTGCTGCTGAAGCCCACACTTCCAGCCCCTGCATGGCCCCTTCATTCCCCTTTCCCAATTCTTGTTTTTTTTCATCTTTCCCCTGGCCCACCACAAATACACCTTAAATACATTTCAGTAATAAGCATTATATAATAACAATACTGTTATACATTACTAATATATTACATTAATAATACATTATTACTACTTACAGTAATTAACATTTATTGATCACCTACTATATGTCAAGCACAAGTTTAACTATTTAAGAAAGGTCCGTTCATAGAGTAGCCACCTGTGGCTTGTAGTGTGGTAAAGGTGAGTGCTGAGCAGTCAGTCTGCAGGCTAGGATGCTAACAAGGCTTACAGGCTCCCTCTGTGGTCCAAATGCCATCTACAAGGCTCCTTCCAACTCTTAAGACTTTATGAGTACTGCTGCCATATTTAAGGATGTGAAATTTATAGAAGCCCCTACTGTTAAGTGGGTATGGAACTTTTGTCTTTGACAAGCCCACTATTTCCCATAAAGGGGATGCCCCAGATTAATTCTGGATAAACCAGCCTCCTCAAAACAATCCTCTCATCTTACTCCAAGACGAGGAGTCTCCCAAGACTGAACTTGAGGTGCCATCAGATACCCACAGGGAGCTGAATTAAGCTAGGGGTTAAATCCTGCCAGTGTAGAATTTCCTCCAGTAAGTCCAGATAATTGCAGTTTCCTCTACGAAGGTCTGTCATTAAAGTCCACCACGAGGAGGTTCAATAGACAGAGTTCCAGTGACTGTCGCTGACGTGTGCCCAAGCGACCAGACCTGGCAGAACCAGAGTCAGCTGAGCCCGCCACCCACTCGAAGAAAAGGAGGGTCTGGAAAAACTCTTGGAGAAAGAAAGGAAATTTCCTACCCGTGGTCCTTTCTTTTGACTGGGATCTACTCTGAGAGCTCTGGAGGTCTAGCCGGGAGTGACCCTATGAAGGAGGGTAGGTTCCTAGAGGCGCGCGGCGGAGGGGGCCGGCGGGCGAGGGCTGTCCCGGGAATCCCCCGCCGAGCCTCGCCCGCAGCTGCCCTCCTCCGCGCCCTCCTCCTACTCCTCCTCCTCCCGCCCCCGGCGCCCGAGCCTCCGCGCCTCGGCTGCTCGCCTCCTCCCGGGGCGGGTGGGATCCAAGTGCCCCGGGAGGTTCGGCGCCGCCCGGTTGGAGGGGAGGAGGAAGGCAGGCGACTCGAAGCCTACCGTCTTCTGCTTCTTGGCCCCCGACATGCTGGCTGGCTGCGGCGGCGCCCGGCGCGCTGGAACTCGGAGCCGGCTCCTGGAGGCGAGACGCTAGGAAGCACGGTGGCGGTGGCGGCGGCTGCGGGACTCCCGGGAGGGAGGTATAAAAGGGCTCCGCAGACACGTCGCACTTCCCTTGACCAGCCCCCTCCTCCTACCCCTCCTTCCGCAGCGCTCCTCTCCGCCCAGTCGGTTCCGCCAGCAGCGCCCAGCCCAGGAGACCCGGCCGCCGCTTGGGCGGGGTCCAGCCGGGCTCTTGTTCGTCGGACCGGCTCGGCCCGCTGGGGCCGAAGGCAGGACAGTGCAAGCCTGCCGGGCGGCTCCCGGGGTCAAATTCGGCCTGCCCTTGCCCACTTCCAGCTGTTCCCAGAGCATCCCCCACCTCCCACGCCACCCCCGCGCCTTTTCAAGGAAGTCTTCCTGACTCTGGGACCTGAAAGGTTATTTGGTTAAGGACAAGGATGCTTGAAACCGCCAGACTTGTTGGCGTGGTCCCCAGCGGACACCGATGCCCAGCTTGCCTTCATTTGCAGTACTAACGGCGACGGTCAACCTTAACTGATCCTCACGCTGCACTCTGCTGAGCTTTGCCTTAAGTCTCCTGTGCCCCCGCACCAGGCACTGAGTCCTCATTTTACAAATGAAGCAGTTGAGGCTTTCAGACTTTCTCAAGCGGACATTCCAAGCGAGGGGAGTCAGAGCCAAGCTGTCAGCTTGGACATTCCAGGCTTCACATACTAGCATCATCACATAGGGTGATGATAAAATCATTAGTCCCGTTGCTTGCCTGTGTATTACCAGGCATGGTGCTAAGGGGTTTATGTGTATTCACTCCCCTGGAGTTCACAATGTTTTCCTGTGTCACAGATGGACCAACCGAGGCACTGCTGCTTTCATGAAACCAAGTAAGCAAGGCCAGCCCCAGAAGGTGGCCAGTGGTGGCCCAGTGACTTGTCTCAGTCTATCCTCCAAAGGATTTTTACAGTATTTCTCTGTGGTCAGCAACTACAACGGGCTCTGTGGGAGAGTAAAAGGAGGTCCAAGGTGAGAAGTCTTAAGGCTAGACCTCAGGGTTCAGAGTTCAGCATGAGACAACTCTCCTAAAGAACCCAAATGTCAGGGACAAGCTGAGGTATGGAAGAGAAAAGCTGTGATTAGCGACGGGCACCTTGAAGGCTGTAACAGTCTCACACCCCTTAGTAGCTTAACTCCTTGCACAACCGCCACAAGGCAACAGAGCAACAGTAAAGTGGGAGGAAAAGAACCCTGAAGATGCACAAGAACCACACTGCTCATTCCAACTTGGTCTTCTGTGGAAGGGCTGAGAAGTTACACTCTAAAGGGGTGAGGGATGGAAATTTTCTTTCCTAATTGTGCTTCTGGAAGACTGCCAGCTTTCCAGACAGACACGCAAAGACCTGAGTGTTCATTGACTGCCCTTCTCCATGGAAAGACGGGAAAGAAAAATAAATCAGGAGTGAAAATCTTAAAAGGAAGCCTACATGTTTTTACAGTGTTGAAATGTCGGTCTATTTATTTTTCTTACTCATTTTGAGTAAGCTGCCACTGCTCCCTTCAACTGTGAGCAGCTAGAGGGCAAATACTGGGTTTGAATTTCTGTACTGCACACAAACTAGTACATTGTCAATTTATGTGGTCTAAACAGGTATATCCCATTCTAATTTCATTGGAAAAAAAAAAAACAAAAACAAACCCCCAACAACTTTTGTATCGGTTTCAAACATATCTTGAAACTGCCAGATCCTGCCCTAAGAGAAAAGGTAAATTGAGTGTGGATTGAGAAATAGCAATTTGCATAATTGTATTTTTTTCATATGGCCTTTGAAAGAATTTATGTTCTTGAAACTGAAGGCAGTTAAAGGCAACCCCCTAGGGCTACCCCCGCTTTATTTTCTAGATGGGCAATGCAACAGGGGCTGCTGAGAAAAGGAAGTAATCGGAACCTAGTCACTAGTTGGGCAGAGTTGAGGCTCCAACCCAGGCCAGCTGGCTCCCCAAAGGCTCTGTGCATGGCATCACTCACCCTCTAGGGCAACTATTTCAAAACCCATGATAATCGTAAGTTAGACTGTTTATCTTGTTTTGGATTGGATTAATTCTCAAATAGTACTTTGGAACAGACATTCTTTTACTCCTTCTGAAGGCTTGTGAAATAGAAGACCTGTGCTCCCTTGGACCCAAGCTGTGGGTTGTTTAAGATCCTTTAACGTCACACATCATCAGTTTAGTTGTAGTGCAGCATGGCAACTCACTGAAAACTAAAACAATCACTCTTTTTTTCTCTCCCAGGGTTTTTCTCTTAAAGGGGATGTTTCGAATTCTTTTTCATCTCATGACCCTAAGAGAGGACATTCTTTCTGAAAAGATATGAGCAACTAGCAGCTTAATTTTTGGAGTCTACGATTCCAGCCCACCAGAAGTGGGAGAAGACTCATTCAGGGGACAGGAGGAAGAGTTGAGGATTGTCCTTTCATATGGATACACTCTCTGTATTTTTCTCAGTACTCTTCCCCCCAAGACTCCACTGTAAAACACTGGGGCCTACATCGATTATACCAACTCAAAAGCCTTGGTACTAATCACAACATTTGCATGAGGGTGTGTTTTTTTTGTTTGTTTGTTTCTTTTTATTGTGTTATTTCCAGAAACTGACTGGGCTTTAATAATTAACTTCAAATGAGGTAGTGATTATGGTCCTTTTATTGTTTAGAAAAGATGAAATCAGTCACTTCACTCAAATAAACCAGAGCAATACATATACAAAGAATGACAGTGTTGGTGAGACCTTTATGCCACAGGTTCTCCAACCCATTTGGGTGGGGTGAGGTTATCACATGTTAAGGACCCAGCTTGGAGGCACAGACCCTGGACGACCATTCCAAAGAATACAAGCTGCATTACCCCCTAGTGGCTGTGATGCACAGAGACCTAATGGTTAAAATCCCCTGTACAAAAACAAGTTCATTCAGTTCCCCTTGGTCAGGAAGCCCTTAAAGAAAGTCTGCTAGGATCCAAACACTCTTTCCAGGCACAGTACTACCAGGATCAGCAAGATGTAGTCCCTGTTTCCAATAAATTCACGATCTAGGAGCAGAGACAGACTCTGTCCCCCTACCCTTACCCCAATTATTTTAATACAATACATGACTTGGAGACGGGAAAAAATGATATTTTATTTTGACTTAAAACGTATGCATTTCACTAATCTTTGATGGAGGGCTAAGGGCTTCTACTGTGGTATGGATATGCTGGTAGGAGTCACAGAAGCCGCTCTCATAAGTCACCTTCAACAATTTCCAGTTTGGGATTTTATAAGGTGGAGTTAAGAAGAGCACTTAGATAATCAGAGGAGATTCAAGGTTTTTACATACCCTTCCCCCATCTTTGTCTGTTCTCTTGCCTATACCTAATTCAACAGCACAATTTTCAGCAGCTTATACTTCCAAAGAATCTGTCTGTTCCCATAGAAAACACAACTCTTTCCCACTCATATGCTATTTACTTAAGTCATATCTACTAAATGACTTAACTATACTAACAGGTACAATTGGCATAGATGGGTTTGGGAACAAACACAAGGTATCTTGGTAACCATTCGGTTTAGGGAAAGGGATGTGGAAGTATGTGGGCATTCCAGGGCTTCCGATTGTCAAAGAACATTCAGTTTGCTGTGGGTATCAATCATTACCTTTTCCAGAAGAAATGGAGAGCATAGGTTAAACTGGTTAATTAAACGATATTGTGGGAACACAGAGGAGGCCTGTTTATTAACAGTATAATTGCTTGAATTTTGAAAGGAAGGGGAATGGAGAGAGATGTCAGCTTTTCTTGGGGAAGAGGATGATACATGAACTGAGACTTGAAAGGACAGGTTTTGCCAGCTCTCCCCTCCCCCAAGTGGGGGTGTATGTGAATTTGAAAATTTAAAGGCAGAGAGCCGCATGAAATAACCTGGTATGTTAGAAAATTATAAGTATCTGTATCGCTGAGTTTAGGAGATATAATAAAAGTGGGGGAGGTTGTAATATAGGATGTGCTGTCTACAATCAGGATGCTATGTGATGGTGTACGTTCTCTTCCTCATGCTCATCAGAGAGCATCAGCCATGTGGCTGGCCTTTGTTCATTAGTCACTATGGGACACTTCTAATGTTCAAGGACGAGAAGCCACTGTCCTGAGGTGTCCATGGCGTGGTAGGGCAGATGGATATGTACACAAATAATTACAATGGAATGTGGTAAGTGCCCGAGAAAAGATATATTTGAATTAGTAAGGAAAGCCCATAACACACAAAGGCAATGACTGCTGGACTATAAAGAGATTCCAATAGGTGGTGATAATTGAACCTGAGTTTCAATGATAAAAGAAAGCTGGGTAGGAGGGTGATCTGTCACCACACTGATGGCAGAGGCTATCTCGTCTGTTGTTCTTGGTTATCTGAAGCATTTATTTCCTACCCTGTCGTTCCCTGTGCCACCTTCCAGAACTGCTCCAGCCTGTCACTGAACACCCAAGTAGAGCAGAGAGGAGCTGCTGACTGCCAGGCTGCACAGCAACGCTGACCCTGTCTCCAAGGGGCGGCCACAGAGCTTACCCAGCCAGAGGAAAAGCCCACTTTCCCAGGCAAAAATAATGCGCCTTTCCCTCTTCTTGGGTGGAAGCCAGTTCAAAGTTTTGGTCTGCTCTTTGTATTAGTTTAAAAGGAAGGGCAATTATTAGTATACACACACATTTTTCGAAGTAGAAACAATTAGGGAAATTCACTCCAAAATTCAACAAACCTCAGTGAAAATAAGTTACATTTGTTTAATGTCAGACAAATCATTTACTTCAGCTAATTAATTGCCTGAATTTTCAGCCTTCAATATGTTCTTTTAAAAGATGTTTAGCAAAGTGGAAGATAACTTAATCCATGTCACTTAGAGGCTTTAAATTATTAGAAAAATATCAAAGTAAACTTAGTTAGATTTTAAGACATTTGATAGGAAGTAAAGAGGGAAAGAGAAAAGGAAGGAAGAAAGAAGTGGACATTGTGATATCCGGCCTAAACTTGGGAAAAATATCACAAAACATGATATTTTCACAGACATTAGAGTTACAATTAGAGAAGTTTGTCTTTAATGGTAGGGCAGAAATATTCCATTTA